CCCCAAAACCCCAAAACCCCAAAACCCCAAAACACATTCTATCTCATATTTAGATGATTATAAATAAATAGCTTATTAATGAACAAACTTTCAAGAATCAGCTGAACAAGAAGCCACCGTAGCTTGAAGATGAAGAAGTGTATGAAGATTAATTGACATGTTATCTTGCATTTTATCTGCTTGGATATTAAGCAATATTCTATTTGTTCTCATATTATTAGTTTTACCAGGATATACCATTATTTTTAGAAGTTTAAGGTCTGATTTATTCGTTTTATTGAGTTTCAGCAAACTGACTCTTCTTTGGTAATGAATAGTTCTCTTTTTTCTAGGGTGATGACCTCACGTTATTTCCCCATGCAGACGATGTCTTCGAAAAATCATTACTATCTCTGGCAGATTTGACTTCCTCTTCAGGATTTAAACCTCCAAAGTTGCTTTATCTCTTATTAAGTTGTTAAGGACTTTAGTTTTCAATTTGGCCTTTTGATTTATTTTTGGACTAATACATCTGTTCCCATTTAGCTGCTAGATCTTCACTATTGTTCTCTTTTTAATTACTAATCACATTGTTATCTTTATTTCTTCTGTCCTGTCTAGTATCTTAGTTTCCTCTCGAGGATTACTATTATTGCTAAGTTGCTGTGGTCTTGAAGTAGTCATCATAAACAACAAAGTTGTTTGTTTGAGGACAATAGTTCCTCAAGTTGTAGTACTTCTTCAAGAATCCTAAGAGTTTTGGACTTGGTCTATCATATCCAAGATCCTTTGCTTGCTTACTCTCATTTTCAAGCATTTTCTCAAACAATTCTTTTCCTATTCCTAATCTCTAGCAGGACTCATGTACATAGAAATCTAAAACACACATAGGCTTGATTTCTTGGTAAGATCCAAGAGCACTTCGAATAAACAGATTCTTCACTCCTACCTTCAACAAACCCTAAACTTGATTATTATCAACTTTCAGGTAAAGTTTCTAGCCTTCTGCTGAGAAAAACTTTTAAGCTGTAGTGATGACTGCTCCAAGACCTTAAGCCTATATAATAAAATAAGTTATATAAGATAAGCTCGATAAATTCACCTACCTTAGAGCTAGCCTCTCCCATTCTATCGAGAATAGTAGCCATATTGTTTTGCTTAAACGAGACTTGCGAGGAATAAAGAGGATGAGATAGCTTTTAAAAGTGACTAGAGTCTAGAATTCTTATTCCATCTGGGCTGTTTGTTGAATTCATGTCTAGTGCCTTTAGTGCCTTTTCACAATCAAATTGAAACTCCATTGTCAGATTTATATTTATGTTGAAGATTTTATTGTTTTTAAGTAAATTTTAAGTCTTTGGAAAACTTATTTATTTGTAAATTTTATTTTTCTGTTATAATTTAGTATAAATTTTAACACTGCGGGGTTTTGGGGTTTTGGGGTTTTGGGG